AGAGAAACATTGATTATCTGAAATGAATTGGAAGGCGATCACATTCGGATAAAAAATTTTTTAGATAAAGAAAGAATCAAATTTATGTCATATATATAGTTAAAGTTAAATGATTTTCAAATACAATATATAGTATTTGTTGTAAGTAAAAAAATTTATCTAATAAGAGAAACACATTAAAAAATAGATTATAATTTTTACGTATATAATGTAAATTTATATAATGTAAATATTAATACGTAATAGCAAATTATGAATATTTTCCTGAAATTACATCGACTTAATAAAGATATTTTTTTTACTGGCGAATTAAGTGCGAATATAGAGATGTAGTTAATTATCACGCTTACTGTCTACTTAACCTTGTAGAGTTATTCTCATTAATTTCTAGAACTGGAATTACAATTTTTAAGACATGTATATAATCTAAGAATTTAAGATATAGTATATTAGATATATAAAACAAATTATTTTCAATGGAAAGTAAAACACTTTTTTCTTTTTTTTTCATTTCTTAAGACATATTTTTCCAATGAACTCGTACAATTGTCAGGTTACTTGAGAATTCGGACGTCTCGACTAACCGTCCGAATCCGCCCGACTTTTTCCGAGATAGTCCGAATTTTTTTCCGAACCTAAGAATTCTCGAATAGCTTACATCTTATATATTTGGGTAGTTATATTTTTTTTATTTCATATAAAATTTGATTTGTTATTTCTTACTAAAAAGTAATTAAATTTGTTGGTAAAATACTTTTTACAATATTTCAATATACAATGTTATTAAGATATATATCGTACTATAATACATATACGAGATATTCCAGGATTACATTTATTATAAATAAATCAAAAAAAAAATTTAGAGTTTAAAAATTTTTTGATAAATAATTGGATATATATGAATTATCAATAAAAAATTTTAAAAACATTGTAAAAAACGTAGAATAAAATATTTTATTGCTTTGTCATTTTCGAAGAGATAGAAATATATATACAAATTAAATGGTAATCAGATACTCTGATATTTAATTAAATTTTCAATTTTAATTTTTTCGAAAATTTTATGTGAACAAATTTTATCTAACATTCGCAATTTCTTGTTAATTGTTCACTTATATCTATACTGGAATTAATTCACATATAATTGACAAATTTTTGAACAAAATTTCTTAGATGATGAATTTTATTCTATTTTTTTCGATTTATTTTTTCTCTGTCCATTTAAATCACCCATTCTGGGTCATCTTATACAAGCATCGTGTATTAAATTATCGATAACCTCGACCTTGAAATCAATATTTTTCGAATCGACAATAGCTGACTGACATTTATTTCTTCGAAAAGAAAAAGATAAAAAAAAAAAAAAAAAAATAAGGTTATTCTCAATGGGAGAAATTTATTCATCAAATTAATTTAAATTTTCATTAAAATGACATTTCCTTATGGAATTTTGCGTAATATATTTAACATCACTATGACACGAAAGCTAATATAACAATATATGATGAATAACTTACTTCTTTGGTGATGCTTTTTCAGCCGTTGACTTATTTCATTCGGCTCACATGTTGCACGAATGGCATCGCGCCAAAGAATATACTATGGCTAACACTTGCCAATTTTCGAGATTACTTGATAATCGAGTAGATACAATATCAGGAAATATCAAAATGTCATTAACTTCGATCTAAAATTGTTGCTCTTGTTAACCTTTTAATCTTTAAATCGCGATAAAACTTTAAAAAACGTGTCTTAAAAACTTTTCGATTATAATTCCGTTTTTTTTTTCGTAAATAAAATTATCCACAAAATTATTTCCTTTGTTAGAAAAAAAAAAATTATGTAAAATATCGGAAGAACGAAAAATTTGCCTATATTCCCCACCCCATTCACTCAATGGGGCTATTTGCCACTACCCCGTGGCGTAAATGCTAACCCTCTCTCACTTTCAAGAGGGATCCCCATGGATTTACGGGGAAAATGTTTAATCGATATTTTTCGACGGCGAAACTTTGCACGACGAGAAATTCTGCGAATAGCCTCCAATTATAAACGAACAACTTTCATTTCCAACTTTTTATTTCATTTCAACGTACGACTCTGTCTTTCTCTTTTTAATTTCTTTTTTTTCCTTTTCTAATTCTAATTCTCGATGAATTGTTTCCACCAATTTCAGAAATTGTTTTTAAAGAGACAAGTATAAAGAACTCTTTAGAAACTTGAGATATTGTAAAACGAAACATTGATATTTTTTTTCTATCTCACTTTTAAGAAATGTTTTTCTCTTTCATTTTCCACGAGCCAGTGAAATGAATAAAATCGAAAAGGAGAAGAAATCCGAGACCTACTTTCTAGATAACTGTTGCCTCATTGTACGACAATATTGTGTAGTTAACGAAAATAAACATGCAAGAACGTATTATGGGATCTGTCAAGTTTTGTATAATGTTTGTGCATATATTTAAAAGAAATCTGAAAGAATTCATTCATATATAAGATTAAACGTTTTAAAAATTATAATTATAAAGAATAAATTTTGTATCTAATAATAAAAAATTAACATGTCGTCAGAGATATGGAAAATGCATCAGTAAATAGTATAATATGGCTTAAATTACAGTAAGTCAAAAGTCCATATTGTAATTCTCATGGAGCAAATATAACTGATTTTATTATTTCAGGAATACGGTTGAGTTCAAAACTCGTTAACAAAGGAAGGAAAATAGATATAGTAAGAACGAGTGAGAAAGACAGTACGCTGAGCAATGACACTTACTTCAAACAGATGCCGTATGTGTTGCGGCATAAAACATCTAATTGCAAAAATTTAAATTTCTATAATTTCCATCCTACATTTCTAAAAATATTACTAGAATTGGTAAATCTTTTTTTAAATTATTAAAAAAAGATTTTTTTTTAAATAATTATTAATTATAAATATCCAAAATTCGTCTCTATTTTATCTCTCTTATTCTTAGTATACAATTCATCTTTATCAATAGCTAATTCAACACAAAGATAAAGGTAGAGTAATAATTCCATTATTTCGTGACAAGAAAAATAAATAATCACAATTAAAAAATAAAATTATATATAATATTTATTTATAATAAAAAATAATTATAAATAAATAATTAATTACGTAGCAATAAAAAATTATTATTTTATTCAATCATTACAATCTCCTTTCAAAGAAAAGAATCACCGTTACTGCCTTCAGTGGACGTGCATGGTACTTCTGTAGACTAGTACTAATCCGTTTCGTATCAATTCAACGGTTAATCGTGCGTGCAGTTACGCCGGCACACACATTCCACCGACGTAAACGTCGATCAACGAATCTATTCGTTTTAATCGAAAAGATAAAGCTACAGAAAATAGAACACGTGGTAGAGGTATTATTTGCATTACGCGAAGGAAACGTTTCCATTATCGAAACCACGATAACGAATAATCAGAAGAATGCTTAATGTTATTGTTACTGACCAACTGCACTACACCCTCCAACGTTACGTCAGCGAAACGCATTAAATGGAAAAACTGATCTGTTACCGAACGTCGCGAGTCATCTTGTTATTACGTAATCTGCGCATTCCTTCTCTTTTCGACCTAAGTGAAAGAAGAGGAGAAGAGAGAAAAAAAAGGAAAAGAAAGAAAGGAGAAAAAGGAAAAGGAAAGAAGAGAGTTTCGTGCGAGGAGAACGAAAGAAACCGAAAGGATGGAGTGGCACAGCCCAAGTCTGGTTCGAACCGGTTTCGCCGTGCCACGGTCACGCGACTTTTCATCCCAATGTAGCCGGTTACAAAGAAATTGATCTTACGACGATAATATACGAGTATTTATGCGTGTTCAACGAGAGAAATTATCCTAAGTATATATATATACGCACTGTTGAATAATATACGTATATGTACATATAAGAAAGAGAGAAAAAGGAAAAGAAAAATATAGAAAAGAATACACGCGTGTTTACGATTATTTCAACGCATGCGCGTCTCGAACTTCAACCTCTCTCTTTCCAGACACTCGTGTTCACTACGGTAGCATGCGGTAGCATCTGACGTCATCGTGCAGTTAAACACCTACTATACGATTTAAACTTTAGACCTTGAGTTCGTGATATCATTCCACGCCGATGATTCTCAACGTGCCAAGGCGTTATTTGTATTTACCGCCAAATCGTGCACGCGAATAAATCCTTTAAAACCGCGTAATTTATTCCGTTTAAATTAATAAATTAATTAATTATCGCTTTGGGAGTATTTAATTTCCGCGATAAGCGGACCATTTTTTTAGATTCTTAATTTAATGATAACAAAAATTAGATAAATTTGAATTCAATGGTCACAGGTTTGACCCAGTCATTGTATTCCGAAGGTTGAGATATTTTTTTTTTAAATGAAAGTTCAATTGCTATTTTTTTTTTTTTTTAATGAAATCAA